CCCAAAAAAAAAAAAAAAGAAAACAAAAAAGCTGCAAGTGCAATAACTTACTTCAAAAAAAAAAAAAAGGGGTAAAAAGAACCAAGCTGCAAGACTGCTGGTTCCTTTTTAATATTCCACTGTAATGAACTGGTAATACATGGCTGCATAGGCAATAACATTGCATGGCACAAACCTCACATGGCAACATTTTTAATATTTTTTTTTATTCTTTTTTTTCCTGAACTTTTTTAAAACTTTTTTTTTTTTTTAATATGTTCTACCCCAGGCCGTTAAGCTAAAGGAAAAAAAAAAAAGTTTGTGTTTATACAAGGTTACAATATTTTACAACAAAAAAACAATAATATTGATTGAGGTTTGTTTTCTTTCTTTCTCCCAGTCTCTCTTTCGAACACTGCACACCTAAACCGATATATTATTATACATTGAAAACTGTCCTTCAAAATCAGTAGTATAAAAGTCCTAGCTCTACCTACCTACCTAGCTATGTGGGGGGAGTGGGGAACCATGTTACCAGCAAAGAGTTAAGGGGGTGCAAGGCCGCTCCGTAGCCTCCTCCCAGCTCCCTTCGGGAAGCTGCAAAGGGCTGAATGACTTTCCATTTGATTCCGCCCCCCCTTCCCATTTGGGTTTAATTTCTCCTTTGGTCTGTTTGCTTTTTGCTGTGTCAGTCAGAGCAGCAAAATAAACACGGGGCTCTGCCTCTGCTTGATTATTTTTCAAACCTTTGCCAGGAAACTACCTTTTTGCCTTTGTTTAGAGAGTGTTTTACAACATGCTGCCTGGTCTGGGTGTACTCTGGGAAACAGGGAAACACGCCTCTGTGCCCCAAAACACCTCCACTGCCACAGAAACCCAGCCAGCAGCCCTATTCGGGCGGCACACCCGGCCCGGGTTGGCGCTGCGTCCCCACGGCTAGTGGGGCAGGTAAAGCCACATGTGCTGCAGCTCTGCAACCTCACGTGTGATGCGCTGTCCCTGCGTGTGGCCTTCCCCTAACACCCTCCCCGTGCTCACGGCTCAGGCCAGGCATGCTCCTGCGGGGATGTGTGCTCACTCACATGCTGCCGTGGTCTCTAGATGAGAGGGAAGCTGGTTCTCCTTCACCTTGCTGTCTTGGTCCTCTTTCCCGTGGGCTCTACCCAGGTAGGTGCTAGGGCAGTGAGACCTGAACTGAGTAGCATGTTCAAGAGGAGGCAGCCAGAGCCCGGCCGTTGGCTGGAAAACCTGCTAGGAGCACGGGTGGGCGGCAGTGCTGGTGGTGGGCGATGTGCCTGGGGGCTGACCTGGCCCCTGTCTCGCTCCTCTCCTTGTGAGCTTGTTCAGGTACAACAGCCCTTAGAGCTTGGACACTGCAGGGCCCAGCAAACCCCAAGCCTGGTTCACCACTAGTTTGCAGTTGCTACCGAAGCACTAACTACTTCTCATAGGCAAGAAGTGCTTCCGAGTACTCAGCAGCGAGTGGCACCCCACCGCCCGTAAGCCAGTGCCGGGAACCCGTGCTGCTCTCACCATTTGCCTCCTCTTAGTCTCAAAGCTCTGGGACATCTCTCTGGTGTTTCTAACCATGGGCAACGTAAGGCAGCCCCCTTGTAGGGTACCTGCTGCATGGCCAGGGCCAGGACTGTTCGGGAGGAACGTTTTGCTACCTCTGTGAGGCCGGAGAGGGCAGCTGAGAGAGCCCAGCTAGCCGGGTGCTGCGGGTGCTGCACCCACAGAGGATGCCACCATGGGCACTAACATGGCGGGTGTCGGAGGAGCCAGGGCTTGTAAGACATTTTGACGGTGGCTGGGGATGAAGCGTGCAGCTTCGAAGGCAAGTCCAAGCCAGGGAATCGCAACTCAATGTATGGACAGGAGTAAAATACTAAATAAGAAATAAATAGAGAAGAAAGCCATAAATAGAGTTGAAAGGTATCAAAATAATAATAATAATAATAATAATAATAATTA